TTTATGCATTGTAAGTCAGTATTTTAAAGACTTGCAAAAGATACATGAATAGCACAGAGGCACTGAAAGTACATAAGAGAGAAAAGGTGTATTTAGTTTATACCACTATGAAGAAAATGGGTTGTATGAGAAGCTACTGGTAATTGATAACTACTTACAAAAAAGGGAAATCTCTTTTCTGAAATGCTACCCACATTCCAGTAGATTCCCCTATTACTCATAAATACAACCATCACAAAATAGACTGAATGTGTATTAAAATGTAAAAAGAAGAGATAGAGAGCACAATAAGTTGGTAAGTAAACCAACTTATTGGTTTAAAGTGGATAAAGTGAGAATGGAATACAAGGAAAGAGTGGTGAGTTGGAGCAACACAGTTTATATGTGCATATAAATAATCACTGAAATACCTAATAAGGAAAATGTGTATTATAAGTATAAAAGTATTCATGACAGAGCTCACACTTCTTTGTCCCTGAGAAGAAGGAAAGCGATGTAAATAACAGTCCTCTTACCAGGTACAGAAAAATGGGTTTGAATTACAAGGATAACATCAACTTGGGCAAAATATCACCTTCATTTTTTACCAGATATGGAAAAGTGCATGAAGTGTCCAGAAAGTCACTATGCAAACACAGAGAAGAAACACTGCCTCCAGAAAGCTGTGAGTTTTCTCGACCATAAGGACCCCTTGGGGATGTCTCTCACAACCATAGCTCTGTGCTTCTCTATACTCACAGCTGTGGTTCTTGCACTATTTATGAAGCACAGAGACACTCCAATTGTCAAGGCTAATAATAGGACACTCAGTTACATGTTGCTGATCACACTCACTCTCTGTTTCCTATGTTCCTTGTTCTTCATTGGCCGTCCCAACACCACAACCTGTATCCTGCAGCAGATCACCTTTGGAGGTGCTTTCACTGTGGCTCTTGCCACTGTGTTGGCCAAAGCTATCACTGTGATTATTGCCTTCAAGGTCACGTTTCCAAATAAAGTGGTGAGGTGGTTAATAATATCAAAGGCTCCAAACCTTATAATCCCCATATGTACTCTTGTCCACCTTGTCCTCTGTGGAATCTGGCTGGGAACCTCTCCTCCCTTCCTGGACAAAGATGCTCATGCTGAACATGGACATATCATCCTTGTGTGTAACAAGGGCTCAGATTTTGCCTTCCATGGTATACTGGGATACCTCTGCTCCTTGGCACTTGGAAGTTACATTACGGCTTTCTTGTCCCGGAATCTGCCAGACACATTCAATGAAGCCAAGTTCCTATCATTCAGCATGCTGGTGTTCTTCTGTGTCTGGGTCACATTCCTCCCTGTCTACCACAGCACGAAGGGGAAAGTCATGGTGGCTATGGAAGTCTTCTCTATCTTGGCTTCTAGTGCAGCCCTCCTTGGCTTCATTTTTGTCCCTAAGTGCTATATTATCTTAATAAGGCCAGATAAGAACTCAATTCAACATATTAGGAATAGGCCACATTCTAGAAGAAATAACCATCTCAAAAACTAGTTCAAAATTAAACATAGTTCTTATGATAAGTGATGAATTTGAAAGATGAAGTCCAGTTGATATCTATTGTAAATGTATGCTACACCATTATAGTATAAGTTTGATTCATTGTGCTGTTATGTGTTTAACTAATTGCATTACAGCTTCTTCATGCTGGAGCCAATGGAGTTATCCATGCTTAAAATCCAGGTTGTATTTTCATATGAGCATTACCTCAGTATACATCTGGGCATGTCTGAAACTGTCTGTGAATATCATGTGATTTGGAACTCATAGAGATTTGCCTACATCTGCCTCTGCTCTTCTGGAATTAAAGATGGCCACTCACAGCATGCTACCATATTATTTGGTAATATAGACTATTAATATTTATGTTATTGATTTAAATTTCTAAGGGCTTTACAATGCTATGGGATGGTCTGTATGTCAAATCTGTTGCTCTGATTGGTCAATAAATAAAACACTGACTGGCCAGTGGCTAGGCAAGAAGTATAGTCGGGACTAACAGAGGAGAAAAGAAAGAACAGGAAGGCAGAAGGAGACACTGCCAGCTGCCACCATGCCAAGAAGCATGTGAAGACACCTGTAAGCCATGAGCCATGTGGCAAGGTACACATTTATGGAAATGGATTAATTTAAGCTATAAGAACAGTTAGCAAGAAGCCTGCCACAGCCATAGAGTTTGTAAGCAATATAAGTCTCTGTTTACTTGGTTGTGTCTGAGCAGCTGTGGGACTGGCAGGTGATAGAGATTTGTCCTGACTGTGGGCAAGGCAGGAAAACTCTGGCTAAATTACAATAGCCACAAATGACATAAAATACCTTGGGGTAACACTAACCAAGCAAGTGAAGGA